GCGCTGTGATTGGTCAAAATCCTGTCCGTGGTTGGCTTGCATTTTGGTTTCAGCCGCCGACGCAGCATGCCATCGCACGGCCTGACGGTCCAAGAGGTCGTGCATGACCCGCACATGCACTCGGTCTTCCTCAAGTACCTCTCGGTGCATGACACGGTCAACTTCTCGCGGCTCCTCTTCCTGTACGTCGAGCCATGGACGCGATGGGCGGCTAACGCCATGGAATAGCGTCAGCGTCGACGAGTTCAAGAAGCTCTTTAGCGCCGCGCCGACCGCGAGTCCGACCAGTCCGTCGAGCCTCCGCGGCAGCTACGCCAAGAAGATCATCGCCAAGTACATGAGCGACGACTCGTTCTTCCACATTGGCGACGACAGATTTCGCGTCCAGGACCAGCCGATTGCCACCTATGGCACGTTTCTCAAGAACGACCTGAGCATGTGCTCGGGCTTGAGCTCCGACGCCGACCTCTTTCTGGATGTTCAGAAGGCCGTGGTTGCCGCCTTGGAGCCGAGCCTCGAGGCCTTTCGGCTCACGGCCGAGGGCCGCGCGCTCTTGCAAGTCAAGGTCTCGATGATCGACACGACGGTCGCAACGAGCCTCCACGACGTCGAGGTCGACCACACCAAGGCCAACTTTACGCTCGAGCGCGTGCTCTCCAACCGCCGTCTCTGTTGCGTCTTTTGGGTCTTCCTCTTCAAGGAGCGCAGCCACGGTCCGCTGAGTTTCTGGATGGAGGCGACGATGCGGCTTCTACCGCTCATGGACGAGTACCTTCAGGGCGGTGGTGCCAACGACAACGACGACGATGCGTCCCGCCGCAGTATCGATGGCAGTAGCAGCAGCCGCCTCGACATTGACCACTCGCGGGCCATCGTGCACCTGGGAAGGGTGCTGTGGAAGAAGTACATGGCACCGCATGCCACCGCCGAAGTCCACGTGCTCTGCGAAGGCGAGCGGTCGCTCTTTGACGTGCTTGAGCACCACATTGGTTCGTGGTCGCTCGATACGCTCTTGAGTGCGACCCAAGTGCAGCAAGCAGGCCTCACGCTGCGCTCGATCCTGTGCTATGTCAAGGATGACCTCCAGATGAACCACTTTGTGCGGTTTCTCCAGTCCAAGTCGTTCCAGTCGATGCTGCAGTCGTTCCAGCACCGCCTGTTGAGTCCGTCCAACAACTCCCTCGCGGTGGCTACGCTCAAAGAGTCGCGCAGCAGCCACGGAAGCAGCTCCGGGTCGTCGTCCGACTCGAGCACGACGAGCTTACCAGAGCTCTTCCACTGTATGAACGTCATCTCGCACCAGCCGCAGCGACCGCGCTTAACGTCGTTTGCGCTGCACAAGGTCGGCGGCGCGCCGCACTGCATCTCGGGCGTCCTCTCCTTTGCGAGCAACCTCGCGACGCGCGGCCGGTTCAACCAAACGGTCCTCTACGCGCTCGCCAACGTCTACCCGCAAGACGAGTCGGTGGCACACCACCACACACTGCCCGACCACTTGGAGAGCTTTCTGTGCCCGTCGGCGGCCACAATTCGGTCAACGTCACCGCCGCCGCCGTCGCTGGTGCACGTTGTCGTGGGCAGCACCGAGCGGCCGTTCTACATGGTGTGCCTCACGCGCTACGTGCCCGTGACGGCGTCCGAGTACTTGAGCCCGCTCGAGGCCGTGCTTCTTGAACAAAAGAGTCTTCGCGTCTACGTCGCCGCGGGGATCTGCGTTCTGAGTCGGTACCCGCTCTTTGAGACGCTGCGGCGCCGCCTCACAACATTGCACGACGATGTGCTCACGGACCCGAGCTACAACGACCTTGACTTTGCGTGGAGCAGCCGCCATGTCGCCGCACTGACCGCTCCGGTGCCGTCGACGCCGGCGCCGTTCCCGGTGAGCCACGCGGTCGACTTTTCGATGCAGCCGCTCTTTTTGTGCCTGCACATCGATGCGATCTTACGACTGTTTGCGAGCCTCTTGCTCGAGCGCAAGATCGTGCTCGTCTCGTCGCACGTCTCGGTGCTCACGACGGTCGCGGAGGCCTGTAAATCGCTCCTCGCGCCGCTGCAATGGCCCCATGTGTACGCACCGCTCTTGCCGCCCGGTATGCTCGAGTGCCTTCACTGCCCGACGCCGTACCTCTTTGGCGTCCACGCCTCGCAGCTCGACTCGGTGCATGCGCTCTTGAAAACCTCGGACGACGAAGACGACGTTGTGCTCGTGCACTTGGATACGCACGAGGTGGCCAACGCGCCCATGGAGCTGCCTCCCGCCGTGCGGCACGGCCTCGCGGCCAAACTCGCCGAGCTCTGGATGCCGAGTGTGGCGTTTGCCGACACACTGGCGCCGCCGACGCCGCGACCGTTTCCGCAGGACGCGGTCCGAGCACTCTTCCGCGAGACGTGGACCGACATGATGGCCGACATGGAAGAGTTTAGCTTCCCGCTCTCGGACGAGGTCGACAGCATGGTCGTCTTTGACAACGTCGGGTTTCTCAAGCACCGGGACGGGACGGACGCGGCGTTCTACCAAGTGTTTGTGAAAACGCAGCTCTTTTCGCAGTTTGTTGCGACCAATGGCGTGCAATAAGACGTATTTCCATCCACTTCACGACCAACACTATCGTCATCGTCTCTGTCTAGCGTAGTAAGTGCTGTATCCCTTTTAATATAAACTACGTGCGTACGAACCAGCGGGACCAATCGCGTGGTTGAGCTCCGTCTCAAGCTCCTTGTTTGTCGTCAAGTAAGAGACTTGCAGCGTCGTCATCGGGTGGTGTTTGGTGCACCGCCAGAGCGCCGGTACCCGTACTAGTAAACTGCAACGATTTGGGTCCTGCACCTTCCACCCCGAGCCCTATGGTGGCTCAACTCTTTTGTCTACACAGCAATGCACTAGTAGGCACTGTTTTAGCTTCCCCACGACAGATTATACTACTTGATCGTGCTGCGTGGTGACGAGTTTTGGCTGCTGGAAGAAGAGCGTGGTTTGTATGTACAACTAGCTAGCTAGCTACTCGAGGAGCAGTGGACGTTGAGGTCGGCCATGCGCTGTGTGAACATGATCTCGTGTTCTTCGGTGAGGCGCATGATGCGTTCGCTTGCCATGTTGCGCTCGACACCAAAGATTCGTTCGAGTCGCCGGCGCTCGGACGCGTCGGCCGCGTTGCGCAAGATGATCTCGCGCTGCTCCTCCGCCGCTTGCTCTTCCTCGAGCACGTGGAGCAGCTCTTGGTTCTGCCGCCGACGAAACTGGTCGAGTTGATCGCGGACTGCGTCTTCGTTGGAGACTTCCAGCGGCACGCTCGTGATCGGCGGCGGTGACGACGGCGCGGCAGCTTCGTGCCGCGGGTACCGCGAGATGCGGCGGCTGATATACCTACGTCCACGAGCTGACACCAACGACCTCGATGAAATCGACTAGCTACCGCTCCCGACAGGTCGACGAGGCCGTAGCCGGCGGGGGCTTGCGCGCCTTGGCAGTGGCGGGTCGCTTGGGCCGCACCGGTATCCGGTTGGGTGCGCTGGCACTTGGTGGTCGGCCATCGAGCGACTTGACAATGTCGTCACTGGTTGTTGTCGGTACTCTCTGGCTCTGGTGCACGGAGAGGTCGATGCCGTTCTTGGACGCGAGTTTACTCAGGTCGAATTTCTTGGTGACCTAATCAACAACTTGTACATCCCTCGCCTTATTCTATCTCCATAAACCTTCATGCGGTGGAAGCTATCGAGGATCTCGTGTCGCTGCACGTTTGCTTTTTGCTGTGCGATTTGGCGCTGCTTGAGAAGTGTGTTCTTCTGTCGTCGCAGCGCCTCGGCGCGTTCGTGGTCGGCTTGGAGCTTGGCTTGGAGAAGACTACGGTGGTAGTCCTAAGGGCACATGAGTCGACTATCGAGAATACTGTCGCCGTCGTCGTACGTCTTTTCGGGCTTGTCGCTCCAGCGCGCGTGCAATCTCTTCTTCCCGGAGCTTTGCGTCCTCGAGCTTGTTGCGGAGCTCGGCCCGGCGCTTCTCCTGGACCTACAGCGTGCAATGAGATACGGCTTGATTGGCATCTCGTACGGTTTCGGTTCGCCGGCCCTTCTCCACTGTCTTGTGCAGCACGGTGGTGGCCCGGACCTCCTCGACCTCCCGCATGCGTGCGGCGACGCGGGCCCGCTCGTCTTGCCGGCGCTCGTCTTCCTTTTGCTTTTCCTTGCGCTCGCGCTCCTTGGCTTCTTCGCGCTTGCGTAGTCGGTACTCGGCTTCGGTCTCGGCATCCAGGAGCTTTCGCCGCCTCTCTTCTTCGGCGAGCCGCTGGTTGTCGCGAATCTCAGCCTCCATTGCCTAGTGCAATGTGAGACGCAGCAACATCTTTGAAGCGTACGCGCCGCGCTTCTTCGAGCTCGGCTTGCTCCTGCTTGCGCAGCTGCATGTCATGCTCGTGCTGCTGGCGACGGCGCTCGCTCTCGGCCTGTCGTCGCTCGAGGGCCAGGCGTTGCTCCTCGGCCAGCCGCTCCTTGTCACTGAGGACGTGCTCAATGCGCGCTTTGTTGCGCTGGGCCTTTTCGTGCACCTGCCGGGCGCGGTCGTCACGCGCCTTCTCGAGCTTCTCGCGCCGCCGTTGCTCGCGCACGTTCATGTCTTGCGTCCGCGCCATGGCCTAAACACTGTGCATGCTAACTGATCGACGACATGGTAGCAAGAAGTACCTGCTGCTGGAGTTCGGTGAGAATCTCTTGGGTCATTTCGTGGTGCTCGTCTTGCTTGCGCTGCCGCTCACGCTCGCGATGCGCCGCTTCCGCCTTGCGCGCTTTGGCCTCTTGGATTTCAAAGGCTTTGCGGCGCTGCGTCTCTTCATAGTCCTTTTGAGCGAGCCGCTTCTGTTGCAAGATGGCGTCGGCCTCCTGCGCCGCCTGCCAAACACGCGGAAGCTAGAACAACGGTTCTTTGCGCGAAGGGATGTTACCTTTTCAGCCTCGCGGCGGCGGCGTGCGTCGTCGGCGTCTTTGGCGCGCCGCGCCTTGTCCCGCTCGATGGCTTCGTCTCGCTTCTTGCGCGTCTCGGCAGCTTGCTGCATGGCGGCGTCCATCTCGGCGCGCTTCATCTCCATGTGCATGAGCTGCTGCATCTCCATGAGCTGGCGCTGCTGGATCTTCTCCAAGCGGCGGCGCTCGGTCTCGAGCATGGTCGACTCAAAGATGCCGCCATTGGTCGCATGCTCTGTCGGCAACGACGCATAGATCCGGGTCTTCTTGGACGGGCTCAGCGAATGGCTCGCGACGATCATGCTTTTGCCCGGTGACGACGGCAACAGCTTCTTCGTCTGCAACAGCGCTCGCCGCACGTCGCGCACTTGGCCTAAAAGCTGTTCGCGGTGCCGCTCATAGCGCTCGGCTCGTTTCAACGTCAACGAGGCCGCGTCGTGGGGCCGCTCAAAGTACGAGAGCGGTCGGCGAAGGAGCTCGGCCGGTGTCACGCCCACCTCGCAGCACGCCTACCCTCCGCGGTGTCAGCAGTTGATGGAGGAGGCGTGTACCTCGAGAGACCGGGGACTGTTGAGCAGCTCGCCGTCGCTGCTCGCGTCCTCATCAAAGTCGTCGATCGTAATGACGACGGGCTCGGGCAGCGCGTCGCCCGTCATGCTTCGCGCACGTTTAAATTTAGCGCCAACCGACCCCAGTCAAGCTTCGACAGTGGCAATTTATCGACACAGCCTCAAATTGGAGCTTTTAAAACGGAAAAAGAGACGGTATCGAGAAAAGCACGTCCGATTGAGACATTTCGTTGATAGGCTAATTCATCGGGACTTTTTATAGCCATGGACGCGACCAAGCTGCCAGGGTCCGACAGCGACGCGGCGCGAGGTCACTGATCCGCTTTGTGGTAGGCTCGCGCGGCAGCCATCCGTGCCGAGAGAGCTCACCGTCGCAACCGTGACCAAGCTTGTCGAGGTACCACTACGTAGTGTAGTCCAGTCGGGATTTCGGTTCTCCTCAAGCGACCCATAGGATTTGCAGCGAGAGCAGCAAGCGCAGCTGGCCGTCGAGCGCGAGCGCGTCATTCAACAAGTGGTCGAGAAACTAGCGACAAACGGGCTGCTTTCGCTTCCACCCCAGAAACAAAAACACCACAAGACCAAGAAGGAGGCGATCTTTGAGGGCCGGCTGCACTCGCTGCTCTCGCACTCGCTCAGTGAGAGCGGTCTCAACTACGCCCACGTCTTGCCACCGCCCACTGATCCCGCACCAGCCGACCCTGGCGACCGACCGCTCGTGCTCGCTCGGCACGAGGGACCAGAACAAACGGTCGCCGAGCGCCAAGTGCGCCCGCACTCGACGACGAAGCGAGCCAAGCGCGCCGAGAAAGAGTCTCGATTGCGCGACAACCCTCTTTTCGAGAAGCCCAAGCTCAAGTCGGCAACGGCGAAAAAACCGGAAAGAGCCAAGGCGGCATCCGACGAGTCTCCGACGCCGGTGGACGAAGCTGCGGCGTGGACGGACTTGACCAAAGTGCCCTACAATATGGACAAGAGGACGTGGATCTTGCTGCAACAAACCAAACGCATTTTGCAGCAAACAACGTCGAGTACGAATTACCGCCCGGGTAAGATCGCACCAAAGCCGCTTTGGGAGGCTTCGCGTCGCCCTCTCGCGACCGGCGACTCTGCGCTATCGACCGCACACGCGCCGACAAGCCCTCGTGAGCCCCTCGATGGAGCCGACAAGACAGCTGAAATCGCGCCATCGATGCCGGAGCCAACCAAGTCGCCCCCGAAAGGCTATCAACTGGCAATGCTCGAGCCGTTCCCAGACACGGACCCGAACACGAATGACGACAAGGTCTGGGAGAACGAGCTCGCGCGTCAAATTCTGAGCCTGTACGCCACCAGCGTCAACACCAAGAAACATGGGGTTTCTCCGACAAAGCCCGCTGGCTCCCCGACGCCCCTTTGCGATCCAAAGGCACCGATTGAGCACTCTGAAGGGACGACAAAAATGGTGTGTGAGGACCGCCGGTCGCGCGTCCGAGCGGTACAAGACTCGTGGGAGCCGAGCCACCGACTCGAGAACGGCAAAGTCAAACTCTGCATACCGAAAATCCCGCGCCCGATTTGGTTTGCGGGCACGGGCGTCGTGCTGGCGACGTGGTGTGCACTGGCCGGCCCCGAGCTCGAGGGCCACAAGCCAACACCCGACCGCACCTACCTCGAGGGCGAGCCAGTCTTGTGTCGGCACTTGCTCTGCGACGACCTCCGGCAACTTGAACAGGTTGCGACGCGACGTTGAACAACGTACTACGACATCTCTTGGGTAGAGTGGTGCCCACGAAAAGTACATTGCGGTCGTCGAGACGCTGCTCATGGCGCGATTACGTACCCACTTCAAGATGCTCGATGACATCGACATCAAGCTCTGGCGACAGCTCGTCATCACATGTACCATCGCAAATTTTGTATGTGGGAGCGCTTGCCTCATGACGCCTAGGCAACGCATTTGCGAGCCGCAACATTGACGCCAAGAAGCACGCGGTGGCACTGCAACTCATCAAGAAGGTTTGAGGCGATGCGCAGCCTGTGGTCATGTCGTGGCGATGGTAGACGGAAGCGCTTCTCGACGATTCGACGCTGCTCCTTGGACCCGCGCGCGCCGAACTCGTGGCATTTATCGCCGACTCGTACGCACACTACTACTACAGCCGCGGCAAAGCCCACGCGGTACGTCGATTGGACTGCTGCTATTTCTACCTATTTTGCATATTTTGAAACTATTTCAACCATTTTTCTGGGGGTAGGGTCTCAAGTACTGCGCCAAAGCCCATGGGACACACGTCAAGCTCGGCGAGTGGTCGCATGTGGCCAAGGCCAAGCTACACATGGCGGCACTCCTCTCGCGGCTCGAGCGCCACGACGCTGCCATCCAAGCTCTCCACGAGATCCTCCAGCTAGTCGAGAGTGCGCAGCTCGAAGACGCCGGCGGCGCGTCGGCCCAAAAACTATGTCTCGTGGCGGTGACGTACAACAACCTTGCGCTCGAGCAGCTCCACGTGCGCGACATTGACCGCGCGTCGACCGCGAGCCAAAACGCCCGGCGGCTCGCGCGACTGTGCTTGAGCTACAGCAATCGCTGGCTATCGCAGCTCGAGGCGACGCACAAGGCGGTCGTGCGGGCGATGACCACCATGCTTGGCGACGACTGTGCATTTGATATGGAGCTCGTGATGAAGTACGACATAGAAGCCTAACCGTTTGACCTAACCCCACAGTGGACTGTATTCATGCTTGCGACGGACCAAGCAAGACAAGCCGATGGTTCTCGAGGCCAAAGGGCAGAATGCGCCTACAGACAATGTGAGCTGCGCATGTCAGTGGGCGTCGGACGCTTCGCCGTTTGCAAAATGGCGCAGTTGGAACGACGACTGATCGGGGGATGGAAACGCCGTCCCTGGCGACGTCCGTGTCCTTTTGTGATGGAGATTTCCACTCGGAAAGTATACCAAGAGGACAGATACCGTAAGTAGAGCCGCTTGGTGACGAGGGACGACCAGACACTTGGCATGTACTCGGAGTGGCCCCAGCCTTTGCCCACCTCGTCTATTGTATCCTCTCTGAAAGACAATATCGACTTTGAGGACGTACTTGCTTTGGTCGCAAACAGAAACGCAGAGTGCGTGCGGGCAAACTCCTTGAGCTGCGCGTAGATGGCGCTGATGGGCGCGACGCCCTCGCCGACGCGGAGCGCCGTGGCCTTGTCGATCAAGTGGAACGAGCTAATGGCGTCGACGGCCAAAAGAACGCTGGCTGGGCGTGTCTTGGCGGCGAGCAGCTCGTCATGCACCTTGCGCAGCTCGGCGGAAAATACCGCGGTCGACGGAGCGTGAAAGAGCTCGAGGCGCTGCATGGCGCTGACGACCGCCGCTTCGTCGTGCGCGGCGTAGCCCTCGAGAATGCAGCGCATCTCGACCGCGTCGAGATGGCACTCGTGATCAAAGTAGTAGACGCGGCCATTCGGCTGTTGGAGGAGAAAGGTCGCGACGAGGTGCTGGAGCATCAGGCTGCGCGGACTCGCCGCGTCGCCGTAGAGCTCCAAGACGGCGCGCGATGGGATGCCATCGGGGAAGACGGCGTCGACGACGTCGATACCACAGCGGAAAGGCGCGTCGTACCACGTTCGCTGTACGAGGTCCAGCGCTGTCTCGTCCAGCGCCCACATCGCGGCTCGGTCCGGATACAAGACGAAGCGTGCAAGACAGTGTTTGAAGCCAGCGTATTCACAACAGACACTGTCTCAAGTTGCTGTATATTACACTGTTTTCTACAAAATGCATCGTGATGCATGCAGAGTGCTCGCACTGAAGCTAGACGCCTTTACGCGGTGGAGAAGGCGATATGAACGACTTTGACTTTGTCACCACCAGCATGAGCCACGCTGCCTCGGAGATGCCAAAGCGGATGAACGCGAAGGCGGCCGCCGACGCGCCTGTGCGATGCACTAGTCGTGCCATGAGTCGCGATGACGACATTTCGGGCTCGTGGGTTGCCGAGACGCCTCCAGCAGATGAGCTCCCGACGGCCATCGGTAGCCCTGGTTCGTGGGCCATGGACTCTCCGGCGACGGTGACGTCCGAGTCGGTGTCCTTCATGAACTCGCGGACGCGGTGGCAGCGGTTGTCCAGCTACATCGGCCGCTTCGTCCCCCGCAAAGCCAAGCAGCGGTGGCAACGATCTACCTACAGCCGCCGATCAACAGCCAAATGGGTCTAGCGCATCGGGTTGGCTACCATATCTACCCTTTACAGTCAATATATATAACATCGTATTTGTCACTGGGCCTATGGCTGCAAGTTGGCCGCGCCCCGCTCGACGTTGTAGGCATCTTGGAGCAGCTTGACCATAGCCTTGTTGTCGGAGAACGTCTTGGCGAGCTCCAACGGCGACTTGAACGTATACTACAGGCAATCAGCAGTCGGCGAGACCTGCGATTCATACGTTTCGCTTGCTCGGTGACGCGCCGTTCTCGACGAGGTACTTGACCATATCAGTGCGGCGCTGCTCGACGGCAAAGTGCAATGGCGTCGTGCCGTTGATCTAGTCGATCCACAGTGTCCTCTGGGAAACGCCGACAATATCTGTACATTGATCCCATTTAGATTGACCTTGTGCAGCAAAAGAAGCGCGACGAGCTTGCGGTTGTTGTGCAGCACAGCGACGTGCGCGCACGTGTTGCCCCAGATCTAAGAAACAGGACAGTTCGTTCCAGCATTCCCGACTCGTACGCCGTGCGGTCGGTTGATGCTCGGTATGTTTACGCTTTGCGTGAGAAGCGCTTGGGCGCGCGCATAGTCTTGCGCGTACACTGCGTCCCAGACCTCGTTGCGCTCGGCTTGGGGCGCCGCCACCGGGCGGTGCTGGAACGCACTCTGTCGTCGCATAGCGCTGCGGTTGTAACGGCAAGGATGGATAGATTCTAGTTAGATACTAGATGGATAAATATATCGATAAGAGGTTAGATTGCGTGATTCAACCCTGGAGCACCGAGACGGCAAAAAAAGCCAGCACGGACAACGCTTCCTCCACAGTGGCAATCGCGATTTCTAATGTTATTTTCCGACAAGAAAAATGATGTACAAAGGCAAATGGCGTCGAGGACTTCTCCATGCAAAGGCTCGTGACGAGGGAAGAGTTGGACCAACTATCCTATTTGCAATGGTGTTTGCGACCATCTACCTCGCTGCCACCAAGAACGGCGCCGAGACCCTGCGCCGGTACACGCTGCTCGTGCAGATGGACGCATCACCAGCCGACATTGCCGACGCCGTCGAAGTCGGACTGCAGGCGCTGCATGCTCGCTACCACCGGCAAGCGCGCAAGCTGCGCTGGTCTGCGTTCTACATTCATGAGCATGAGCACGACGAGACGGCCGACCGCCTCTGGGAGCACGCCCTGCAGCGCTCTACCGCCGCGCGCCGCCGCCGCCAACCCTAGCCCCCTCGCACGCAAGTTCCAGCGGCTAATACGACCACTGTAGCTGGACATAAGATCGCTGGGGTATACAACATAAAAAGACATATTGTCTGAACGTTCGTGTCCCGTCGCACCGGCAAAGGATAGGGTGCCGACGGGTCGGCTACGAGGACGCAGCGGCGTTCAGCGACTCGGCCGTCGTGATGAGCTGCATGTACTGTGCCAGCGCGTTGGCGCATTCGTCCCGAAGGCTGATGCCAATCGCCGTGGCGCGGGCTTGGATATCCTTGGCATTCGTCAATATGTCTTGAACGGCGCGGGCCAACCCGGGAGCCGCAAGCTTCCCGAACGGCAGTGCGCACGGCGCGACACCGAGTCGCACGAGGACTTTTGCATTGTGCGGTTGGTCCAATAGCACAGGGCACGGCACTTGCGGCGTCCCACTGATGAGGGACGCGTTGCACGTGCCAATGCCGGCGTGGTGCACGATGCAGTCGACCTTTGGAAAGAGGGCTCCGTGCGAGATCGACGGCAGCACCAAGAGCCGCGTTTGGTTGGCCGTGAGGAGCGCGTCGGCCTCGTCCGACGTGAGCGCCGACCAGCCAGCGACGACGATCGCGCGGCACCCGACGCGCTCGCAGACATCGATCGCGAGGCGCAACAGCCCCATCGGGTTGGCGGTCGGCATGCTACCAAAGCCCAAGTAGATGATGGGCGTGCCAGCCGCCCGCGCGGCGTTGAGAAAGCTGGTTGCTGTCTCGGGGAGCGGCGACGGCGCAGCAAAGATAGGGCCAAGCAGATGGATCTTGCGCGGGTCATAGTCGCTTGGGATGCGCGCCTTGGGGCCGCAAAAGAGCGCCGAGCACCCGATAAGAACTCGGATGCGCTCGTTGGTGTTGATGACATCGAGCATACCAAGGGGCATCGTGATCGGGGGCAGCTCCAAGACTTGGGTACGCCATGGGTTGATGTAGACCTGCTCGTCCTTCCAGAGCTGCTTGAAGAGCACATTGTACGTCCACTTGTTGAGGCAGCGCAGGCCACAGGCGAGGCCACTCAGCGCCCACACAGGAAACTCGGTCGTGGGACATGTGGGCCCGAGAATGAACGGCACCCATGCCGCGTCGAGCTTCTCGGCAACCGCGTACGACATGGCGAGGCAGAGCCCGCCCGACACAATGACGTCGGCGCCTTCGAGTGCGGTCACATACGATGCAAGAATGTCGTCCATCTTGTACTTGCCCTTCCACTCTTTTGTCATCTTCATGATCGCGACGATCGAGCCTTTCGCGAGCCCGGCTTGGAACTTGGGGTCAAAGAGGCCGCCAGTCGAGTCGCCCACGATGCGCCGGTACGGCAGCCGGAACTCGTCGACGACGAGGCTCTCAAGGCGCTGCTCGGCGGCGATGACGACCTTATGGCCGCGGTCCGCGAGCGCGCGCCCGAGCACGCAGTACGGCTGCACGTCGCCGCGGGACCCGATCGAGACGATCGCGATGCGCTTGCTCTCCATCGCTCACTCTGCCAACTGGCACCGCCGTTGGGCCTGTCCCAGTGACCTACATTCTTAACCAATGGCATCGCGCCAAAGACAGGACAAGATCGCCAACCGCCGCCGGCTCCTGCGCGCCGGTTGGTGCCGATGTGTTCGCTGTCTCTCAACGCACCATCACCAAGGTGTGCGTCGCTGCACAAGACGACGCCAGGACTTGGAGCTCCTACGATACACCCGAGAAGGCTACTCGGCCGAATTTTCACTGAACAGAGGTCAGTCAGTGGGACTCGACAGTACTGTGTCCAGGCGCAGCTGCGTCCTGCAATCGTATATTTTCTTCGGCTTCAACTGGGCAGCCAACTTACAACTAGCTCGCTCAAGCAAGTTCGCTCGAGCACACTGCCCTGCGTTGGGCTCTGTGATTTTGTGTGGGCCAATCGCAGGTCCGACAGCAACATGGTGCCAAAGACAAGATTGCTGCGTTTCAAATCACCGCATTTCCAAAGTGAATAGGGAGCTTCCTTGAGACCCACGGGAGCGTGAACGGAAGAATGATTCGCTGACATGGTATCCCAGCGTCGACTGCAGCAAACCAGTGCAATTATCTTCCCTTAATTGCATCAACAAGCCGCACGTTTACGAGCACAGCAGCCGTAAGCGCCAAGGGCCGCGCTTTTGGAGGTTGTGAACCGGCGCCTCGTCGCGGGACTAAACTTCGATGTTTCGACCGCACACCACAGAGATATTCATTCTAACAGGAAATAATGTTTTGATATCCAAGATTCAGAATATATACTTGATACAGTGGATTACATGGAACCCATTTGCACAGTATATTCATAATGAGAGGGTCCTCGGTTTCGGTCCGGTTTCGCCAGAAAGGCAGTCAGAGTGCATTTAGTTTCCTGGCGCACAGATCCTTCCCTCAAGCTCGATGGTCCGCTCTGTCGCCTACCTCACGACAGCGATCGCGCTGGCCCTTGCGTCCGCCGAAGGCGACGTCGTGCCAAGCCTGTCGGCGTTTGGAGTCCCGTCGACGAGCAAGGCGTTCTGGGCCGAGACGTTCCAGAACTCGACGCTCTTTGACGAGAACTCGGTGTGGGTCAAGAGCCGCCACAAGAAATACCGCGAGCAAAAGGTGTCTGTGCAGGAAGGCCCGCGCCTCCTCGGCACTTTTGCGCAGGACAAGGCACTTTTGATGGAGGCGAAAGCCCAGCACTACGGCTTTGGCGCCAAGCTTCCGTCGTCATTCCAGCTGGATGAGACCAAGAGCGCTCTCATCGTGCAGTACGAAGTCAAGTACCGTGACGGCGTCAACTGCGCCGGCAGCTACCTCAAGCTCCTCCGCGAACCCGCCGACCTCGAATCGCTCGATGAAAAGTCTCCGTTCAGCATCATGTTTGGGCCCGACCGGTGCGACAAGACCAACAAAGTGCATTTTATCTTCAACCACAAGAACCCACTGACGCACATGTATGAAGAGAAGCATCTCGAGATCTCGCCGCCCGCAAAGACCGAAGACAAGCTGAGCCACGTGTACACGCTCGCCGTCCATGATGACAACTCGTTCGAGGTGTACGCCGACTTGGTCGCGATCAAGAAGGGCAGTCTTCTCACGCATTTCAAGCCGGCGGTCAACCCGCCAAAGGAAATTGATGACCCGTCCGACGTCCGCCCCTCGACGTACGAAGAAACCGAGTTCATTCCGGACCCCGCGGCACAAAAGCCAGAAGACTGGGACGATGACGCGCCCAAGACCATTCCCAACCCCAAGATCACCCAGCCCGACGACTGGGACGAGGCGGAAAAGGGACCGTGGAAGGTACGTCCAATGCACAATGGTCAACTTGTCCTTCAACATGGGAATCTCGTAGCAATCGATGATGTCAAACCCGGCGTACCGAGGCAAGTGGACGCCTCCGATGATCGAAAATCCCGACTACTTGGGGGAGTGGGAGCCCCGAAAGATCCCCAACCCCGACTACTACGAAGATGCGCACCCGGCGCGCATGGAGCCGATCGGGTAGGCAATGGCCAAGTACCTTTGACACTCATGATGTGTCGTAGCGCCGTGGCGCTCGAGGTCTGGAGCATGGCCACCAACATTCAGATCGACAACCTTTGGCTCGGTCACGACCTTCAGGACGCCTTTGACTTTGCGCGCGAGACGTGGGCGCCCAAGCAAAAGGCCGAAGAGCTCGCCATCGAGATGGAGCCGGCGCCCAAGCCCAAGGAGCGACCGGCGCGCAAGAAGTACGAGCCTACGTACTACGAGATCGCCAAAGGTTACGCGACCCGTGGGGCCGAGTACGTCCAAACGTACCCGCTCATGTCGGCGGTGGGCACCATCTTTGCACTGCTCCTCCTGGCGTTCGTGCGCGGGCTGCGCCAAGACTGGGCCGACGAGCTCCGCCACGAGCAAGCCGAGAAGGAGACGCCAGATATCCGAGTCGACGACGAGACCGAGGTTGTGCACCTCGATGCCAAGCCCGCCAAAGACGCTACGGACGCCCCCGTGCCGCCAGACACTGAAGGCCTTCGCCAGCGCCGGCCGAGCACGACCCAGCAAGCGTAATGTGCTATGTGGTACCAATAATGTCTTTTCTTTTTACATACATGAGCAAAACTTGCATTGTGTTGTGGCTTACATGCGGCGCACGACCCACCAGGCAACGCAGGCAACCAGCATCGTCGACACGAGATGCGCCGTGAGACGCTGCAAGGTGCCGTCGAGGACCGACGCCGCGCCAGGTGCATGGGCAAAAGCATTGTCAATGCAGTACCCGTGGTCTTGGCTGTAGAGCCGGCCCGGCGTTGCTGTGAGCGGCGAATGCAGCATGTTCCAAGCTGTGGGCCCGTACACAAATGCCTTGTGCGTCGCGTCCGGGTCGTCCGAGCCACCGGTCGTGGGATCGAGCACGAGCGTGCCAATCTGGCAGTCCATTTTCGGGACGAAATCGTTGGCGTGGGCATAGTTGACCAGCGTGCGCACCGAGCCCGAGGGCTGTAATTGGTACAAGTGGAGAAGGTCCAAGATGCCATTCGCAGCAAACGTCGTGGCATGCATGTCAAAGCGAATCGCCGCCAGCTGCGCAATCGCGCCGCCGAGTGAGTAGCCAGTAAAGTGCAGCGAGTGGTGCGGGTACGTGCGGCGCATCTCGGTTGTAAACGCAATCGCTAGCGGTACAAAGTCGGCGCCGAGCAGGTGGCGTGTGCCAAAGATGAGGTACTGGATGTACCGGCTCGCATAGTCGAGCAGCGAGCCGTACGTCAGCATCGAGGGCGCGCTCAGCTGCACAAAGTTGCGCCCAAAGAGGCCCATGGCTTCCCAGAGCTCGCTGTCCAGTAGCCCGTCGCCTTCTTGGTGCCGAAACGCAAGCACCATTTCATCCGTCTCGGAGCTCGTAAAGACCATCGCGCGCAGCGTGCCACCGAGTATGAGCTCGTGGCCGTCGACAAAGACGGGCGGTGCCAACGGCGAGAGGTGCGACATGTTGGTATCGACCGTCCACCGGTTGGCAAAGCCCAGGCCTGCGCACTGCGTTTGGTTCAGTTGGTCAGCGAGGTGCGACTGGGGCGTCGCAAACGACCGACACATGCACAGCATGTCGAGCGCCATCGACGCGTTTGGCAGCGGGGCTGGCGGCGCTGGCACCGCCGGCGCGGGGAACCACTGCGCCGAGTAGTCGAGCAGCGCGGCCGTCCACATCGAGACGTACGTCGTGATGAGCGCCATGGTTGCTTCTTGGGACTGGGCACTGGCGCGACTGTGGCAATTTGCCGTTGGCTCGAAAAAGATAGTCGCACACTAATTTCGTGTTTTATCCGTGGCATGTGCCGCAAATAAGGAGGAACGTTCACATAAGGTGAGGTGCGCTTCGATGGAGAACGTAGCATTGCGGACAGCCTTCTCAGGAACCTTCCGCCCCAAAGAGCTGCAAACGGGTGTCTCGCCGCACCACTGTCCAAGCAGAGATTCATTGAGAAAACATGGTGGTAGTACGCATCTCGTGCTGAGAGCGGAGGCTCTAATGCTGAGATTGGAGGCTCCCTAGCCAAGCGGATTGACGTAGAGGTCCGCTTCTACGACTTTTAGGCTATATTACATGGGAAGACCTTGCCAGGTTTATACTCAACGGGTGAACATGTAAGGTAATGAAAAGCTGATGGATGGACTCAGACTTGGTGGGCGGCAACTGCCGTTTCGTTCAAGTTGACTGCACTTACTTATGCGCTGTAGACGATGCTGAAGCGAGTGAAAGAAGCTAGGTCAGTTTTGTTATCATAACGGTAGAAGGGCTGCTGGGATTGTGGCCAACCTCTGTGCTCAGCAAGGGACTAAACTTGATGCTCGATTGCGGTGCCGCAGAAACCGATCCAAGAAATAGTGTACATAGCAACGTTGCCATGCCGTGTTGAGAGGCTTTCACTATATTATTACACTATTTATACTAAACGGGGGTGATTGTCTGTAGTCGTTTATAGTGTCATATTCTATTTTTTGGAAAAATCGAAGCCGGAGATCGGCGCGAACGAGCCTGATCAAGGGCAATGAGCCTTGGCTTTATGCAGGTTCATTGTACATTATGCCCTCAGCACTCTCATCACCAGTGGTCTATCGCCTTGAGCACTTCAAACCGAAGCGCGAGTGGGTGCCTGACAAGCGCCGCTCGAGCTGCGCGGCGTGCAACAAGCAGTTTCTTCTCCGGCTGCGGCGAAAGCACCACTGCCGCCGCTGTGGCGACGTTGTCTGCCGCGCGTGCTCTCAGTTTGTGACATCGGAGCTCCCGCTTGTCGGCCTTACGCCAGTGCGTGTCTGCCGGCCGTGTATTATCCGCGATATTACATCCGACACGCTGGACGTCAATCTCGAGCAACTTCTCGTCCACCATGATACGCTGTACCGAACGACAGAGCTCATCCTCTTCAGCCCACTCGCATGTTCCAAAGCCGAGGGCAGCTTTCGCGAGCGGCATCACTCGACCTTTGTTGAAGAGGACGAAGAAGTCGATGTCGAGGAAAGTCAACCTCGTCGACCCAAGTGGTCGCAGTTTAAAGCTTTGTTCAAGGCGCTGGTGCCAACGACCCCTCCTGCTTGTTGATGTGTGTTTTCGTAGCTCGCTACGTAGTGAACTTGAATGTAAACCAATGTCTTCTCAACGCCTTGGCTACTGCCTTGCGTTTGAACCACCGATCCGCATGCTGGCCCGCGAAATTTGGCCCGCGGGTTTCAGGAGGTACTCCAATGACCGACACCAGCAATTATGCTACCACGACCTGTTTACGGTCAGTGGACTTCAATAAAGGCAGAGCGTTCTAGTCTGCTAGTTTGGGTGCTGCTCCTGCATCAATTTTGCGCGTGTGAATAAGGTTGACTGAGAGCTTAAGATTGGTTGCTCGCAGTAGTACTAGTACGCTAGCAGTGACTGCCAAACCGAATAGACACGGATAGAGCGTTGCTCATATGAGCTGTTATTTGGAGTACCGTTGTTGGGTCGCAGGTTCAAAGCTTGCTCTGTTGTTTGCGGTTGTCAGCAGGACGAGCAGTTGGTGAATTTAGATACGCGATGGGCCAATCATCGTCGTTGAAAGATCGCAGGCAAAAAAATAGAAGAGCCAATCACATGTCTCTCTCCGCTGAGTGGCATCGATGATTGGTGCACTGCGATCTTTGGCCGTCCCCGCCCAGGAAGCTTGACTTTACGAATCATGAGATGCACCGCACTGTCCAGCGCCATCGCCATCTTTTCTTATATCCACGCTCAACGACCGACGTCAAGAGATCGAAACAGCGCTGCCAACTATATGATTTTGTGTAGGCGGAAAGTTAAAAATTCTGTCGAGCACCTTCGTGCTCTGGGTAGAGTGCCGAACGGAAATGGCACACTAACGTCCACGAATATGGAATCACATACACTGTATAAGCAGGACAGAGTATGGATGGACAGGGAGTTAGGGAAAACCACATATCCACTGATTGCATTTCAGCCGCATCATCTAATGATCTGCCGAGTACTTTTAGTGTCAATCAACGCGGGCTGCGGAAGGCACAACATCTCTGCATGGACGTGTATGGATGGAGATACGCTACTTGTGTCTTATCTGCCGCGCGCACGATTATAGTGAAAGTAGACACTCAAAACTACGGTCGTGGCCCAAAATATCAAACCACTCTATTGAGCGACTCTGGATTGGGTTTGTGCCATGATTCGAAGTATGTTTGTGTCGCTTGGCGCCCAACATGGATAAACAATACCCTGGTTTAGTTGTGGTGGAAAACACTACCGGAAAAAGGGTAGAAAATTCCGGGTGGCCCTCGATCAACGACAGACCGTTGCCACGCTCTCAACCGCTACCTTCAATCAGAACACTCGCCCTACCCAGCACTTTAACTTTGCGTGAGCTGCGAGAACGCTGCCCGCGATCCACCAAGAGTCACAGCGTATTTTGCACACTTCAAGCTGGCACCGTACGTAGCCAGCTGTCCAGTTGTCAAGCGCGATAGAAACAGCGCCTTCTCGTGTTCCCAACGGATCCAAGTGTCGTACGTTGACACTCGATGTCGACGAACAACTAGCGTACCGTCCAACAGCTAGACACTAATTGCTCGTATTGCAGAAACCACTGAATTCGCATCGCCCCGCGGTGTATTGTTGTTCGTGCTTTTTCTGCGTGCTGATTAGGTGCCGCCACCCAACTACCTACTATACAAGCGTACTACCTGCAAATGTGTTGTGCACCAAGTTGCAAACCCCGACCAAACTCCAGACCTAACGTCAACAAGAGCTTGCCCCGTGTATGAACGGTAGAGATACATGCATACACGACGAGACCGCAGTGCATGTACTATAACACACGCAAAGGACTAGTACTACTGATCAGTACTAAGCATTTGCTTGATGATAGCACGGCGGCTCGATGAGCATTATCTATTGCTGTTTCCAATATGATTGGTCGGACACAAAAACCAGTCGAGACAGTTGTGAAAACATGTGGTGTGACGGCAACTAATCCCCTGCACAGACCAGACTGCCGCCTCAGCGTGGTTCTTGGCGTCTCTCTGGCTCACGCTCTCCGACGAGCTTGACTCACAAATGGCGGTCGTAAATGGACGCAAAGTTCCCTACAGTTTTCCGTAGCTGCTTCCAGCAACAGTTTTAGAGGATAGCGTTTGCGAAATGAAGTAGTAGGCTTGTTGTTTGCTCAGGGCAAAATAGCACACAAAAGAGGCGGCATCCTCGCTCTCGCCTGCACGCGTTGAGAGGAACACGATACCTACTCCATTTTTTTAACGCAGGGCTGCATCGCGGCGTTTTCGGACCGAGGCGCGACCTCCTCTCGCACGGGCCACAAATGTAGTGGATTGAGATTGAGATCTCAATTCACTACAAATGTGGCCGTCACCCACGTATCAAGCCGGGTTCTTTTACGCTGTGAATTCTATCACTCTCGCCCCTGCAGCCTTCGTTCCCAGATAACCGCAAGAGGGGCAGTTGCGTTGCCGCATTTTCGAATCGGTGTACTTCTAGCACTCATGCAACTTCTTCTAGGTGCACAACAATGAACGTTAGCAGCAGCAAGACGACCACCTCGCTCGTCTCTCGAGCCACCTTGCCACTCCGCTGCCATTGAGGAATGTTTGTTTTACCTTGCTTTTGCATTTGGCACCTGTGACACATGGCGTCGATGTTGTCGGTGCACCATCTGGCGCCACGGACACAACCAATCGTCTCCGCCCGGCGCAGGAAGGCGCTCACTTTTCCTTTTGGCCATGAGCGCGCCCACAGGTGTCACGCTTGCGTTCCTCCTGCAGTTCATTGATGACTTTGGCGGCCGCGCAGCCTTTCGAGGCCTCACGACCGAAGACGTCTGCTACCTCTACGTCCTTCCGACGACCGAAGCAGCCAATGCCTCATACCTGGACCAATACATGCAGGCGCACCCGGCCAGCGCCGGGCTCATGACGGCGCCGGCTAACTGGTACCTCGGACACACGTGGCAGAGCTTGTTTCTCGACGTGGTCGACAGCATCACAAGCTTCGTGTACACGGTGGGCGATGTCCGCACGACGTCCGTGTGGTTCTGCCTCTTTGCCAACAACCAGCACGAGATGCAGTCGTTCTCGTTCGTGCAGTACATGACGCGGTTCCGGTCGGTTTTGGACGCGACGGGCCAGCTCCTCCTCATACTTCCGGACCTCGCGGACCCGATTTTGCTGCGCCGGTCGTGGTGCCTCTTTGAAATCTTCATCGCCCACTGCAGCGGTAGCGTGATTGAGATTGCGTCGATGGCGACGGCCGACCCGACGTTTGGCACCGACCCGACTGTGCTCTTGCCATGCCTCCATGCCGTCTGCACGGAAGACAGCGAAGCGGCTACCGAGCAAGACGAAGCACTCATTGTGCAAATCATAGACGCTCAACTCGGCTGCGACGCAATGGACCAACTCGTGCTGCGGATTCTAACCACGTGGTTTGCGAACCTCGCGCGCACCAAGTTTGCGCCCATGCAGCGCCCAGCGACACAAGGAATGTCGCCCCCTTGTATTTCGTCCGTGACCAATTGAGTCATGGATACCTAGTTTAGTTATCGTATTTATGAAATGAACACTCGCGTCCTAGCGTCGTGACGCTGTCAAAAGTTTGTCGTTCTCATGTAGGTAGCATCGCGCGCGGTGGCCAAAAGCCAATCCAAGCGCTGGTAGATGCAGCAACGCTATAATGTGCGTGTTGCTTATCGTTCAACCATGCTGCCATGTCGTTTCGGACAGAAGTCGAAGCGACGCAGGAGTCGTCCACGCCATATCTTCTCGGAGCATACCACGAGTCGATAGCTTACTTCTCGTCAAGCCAACACACAACCCTTGGCAGTGACGCCACAACGACGGCAGCCGGGAAGACCTACCCCTACGAAGCTACGCGAACGTTGATCCAACGGTCAACTGTTTATGGACCCTCGGTCGATCCTTGAACGTAATCAGAAGCATCCTGAGCTACACAACCGCTCATGTCCTGTGATTCGAGCGCTCGAATCGTTCCCTTCCAACGCTCTGGCGTTGATCCGCCGCCTGGGAAACGCAGTAGGTTCAAGCACGGAGCCTTCGATTATCGAACATTCGTGCGTGTTGCTCCGGTTTGCCGCATTGCGCAACATGCAGAGCGTCTTGAAAAGCCTCACGGCGGTGCTGCTGGCACGTGCGGCGACGGCGGAGCTCACGATCGTGACGCCGCACGACGCGCTGCCGGATGGCGTGCCATACACGCTGCTTCCGGTGGCCCAGCGGCCACTCTACCGCGGCAAGATCGTCGGGCCACTCGTGACACCCGCAGCCCCCAACGCCACGGCCATCGAGCTCATCCCTGCGATCGGCAACTGCCCCGCGTTTGCTTTTCCGACCGCCAATAGCTCGACGGACAAGCCAAGCGAGGATGCCATGCACCGCATTGCGCTGCTGCCGCTCACCGATTTGCCCGACTGCAAGGTCGTCGACCGCGTGCGGCAGGCGCAAGCGGCTGGAGCTATTGGTGCGTTCCTATACGACGCCAACCAACTCAACGCAACGGTGCCGTTCGAGGTACACTGCCTGTACACACAGTGCCCTCGTCCTCATCGTAGCACTAGAGCATGCGTCCTGCCGCCGATATTACGATCCCTGCCGTCTTTCTTGGCGGCCTCGACGCCGCGCGGCTCGAGCAACTCGCCTCCGAGACGCCGGTCGTGGCGCTATTGCGCTGGACGACGCCGCACCCCGAGACACACGTGAGTTTCGACGTGTATTTCCCCTCAACTGCCCGAATGGATCGCGGGTACAGCGGGTACCCGACGCTGTTGGCGACCTTTGGCGACCTTGTGCGCTTCACGCCTCACTTTGAAATGTATCGTGCTGGTGCGTGGGGCTGTGGCAACATGAGCGACTCGAGTCTCTGCGCCGCACTCTGCGTGGACGGAGCGTGCACGTACGATCCTGAAGACGACGCCACCGTCGGGCTGGACGGCAAAGACGTCTTGGCCCACGACGTCTTGGCATTTTGCGCCTACGAGCACTCGAAGCCGAACGCGTCTGCCTTTTGGGATGTTACAAACCGCATCTTAACCGAGTGCACCGCGGGTGTCGATCCAGCGACATGCCGCACACGGGTCTTGGCGTCGTTTACGCCCACGATTGGTGCTGCGATAGCTGCGTGCGCGGACAACAACGCAACTGAATTTTACAACGCCGAGCTGCAGCATGCGTACGCTGCGGGTGTTGCCACGTACCCACTCGTGACGATCAATGACCAGCCGCTCTACGGTAAACACCGAGAAGCAAACAGTGGAATAAGGGAAAGGCGTAGAGGACTGGGCGTGCGACGAGCCGATTTCCATGACGACCTGTGCACCGCTCAGCGTGCTCTGCCGGTATCTCGAGTACTCGAACGTGACGCTTCCGGACGGTGTGTGCGCCCCCGAGTACTGGCAGAGCCGGTGCCTTCCGCCGCATGCCATCGATGACTGCGGTGTCTGCAACGAGCGCGACAGCGCCAAGTGGAGCCGTGCGTGCCGCGGCTGCGACAATGTTGTCCACAGCAACAAGGTTCGCATCTTCCACCGGACAAAATTACGACACATTGCGCGTAGACATTGGACGTTTGCGGCGTGTGTGGCGGCGACGGCTCGTTTGATATTTGCGGCGAGTGCCTTCCCGCCAAGGACTCGCGACGCGATACGGTATGCGCCGACTGCAAAGGCGAACCGTGGGGCCCTGCGACGCGCGATGCGTGCGGAGTCTGTGGAGGTCATGGTAGGAATGGCATTATGTCTTCGTCGAGAAATAACCCTTTTTTGTGGTCGAGTAGGGTCGTTTGATGCGTGTGGCCTGTGCTTCCAAGCCGACGACCCGCGCCGCCAAAATTACGGGTGCCAACTCGAGGTGGACCCAGATGCTGTGCACCTCAAGCTTTTTATTCGTGGAGTCGGGTACTACTTCTATCGCCTGGGACGCATACGCAGTCGTGTCATTGTGTTAGTGCTGGGGTGTTTGGTCAGTCGGCGGCTGTGACGACGTTGGCGTCGACGCTCGCCGCGGCAGCAAAGACCGAAGCGACCAGCGTGCACATCAGGTCGATCGAGACGGTCGACGATGCACTTGTTGTCAACATTTTTCTTCTTCCGACGGCGTCGTCACCCGAGGGCGCGAGTGAGAATGTCGTGGCGCGCCTTGGCGCTATCGACGTCAGCGCGCTCGTCCAAGACGTCTATTTGCACTCGGAGGATGCGTCCAGGTAGTCGCCATTGTGTCCTACCACTGTGGATGCGAATGCAGTACCAAGTAGTCGCGCCGTCGACGTCAAAGTGCTGTCGATGGAGGGCGGCGCGAAGAAGGCGCGCACGGTCCCCAAAATGTGGTACGTTGGCGCGCTCGGCGGGCTTGTCGTTAGCACAGCGCTGACGACGTGGCTTGTTCAACGGCGCGATCGGCGTCTCAAGAGCGACATGCGCCAGCTCTTTGCGCGGTACACGCCACTCGTGGCGATGGACGAAGAGGACTCGTAAACCACGCAAACGAATCTGCTCCTTGGTTTTTCAAATTTTGGGTTTGTCTACTTGTGGTCAGCGCATCTGGACAACGACGTCGCCGTGCAGATCCCACCGCTGCGATAAGCTCACCACTACGATCGAATATGAATATTGGCGATTGAAAGGAATTGCCGCGGCTTTGCGCCCGTCTGCGATCTTTCCAAATCTTAATGCGCCAGAGTCGCCTGTCCCGTCAACTTCAACGCGCGCGCCTTTGCACAAGGCTGCAAAAAAGTGCAACGTCCCAAAAATCATCGTTCCAACTGCTTATTTTATCAGCGGGAAGATTCCAATGGCGATGGCTTGGGACTGAAGACCAAGCCGATCCATCTCCGGGGATGGTCCCTGCAAAGTCGCGCCTGCTGGCCCTTTCAAAGGGTCCTTGCAACACGCGACTCGAGGTGTCGCCTTGTACGCAAAACGTGCGAGCACCCAGATATCGGATGCAAGCCGGTCACGACGTCGTCCAAACGGCAATTTCAGTGCTACTATGCACCCTTCGTAACCTATAACGGCGCATCCATGGAGCGACCAACTTCAAGTGTGCCTCGCTCGCCTCAGTGGGATGCACAGCAAACGCAGCCAGAAAGCACGCGTGCACGTGGGACACGCCCTTTTGCCGTCTGTCCCGTTTGAAAAACACTTTTCCACGAGCTCATTCCCCAATTTCCTCGTTCGTCCAAAAGCAATATGATTGAATGGTACGCGCCGCAGCGCTACGACATCGGCGTCATCGTGCAGCTCATTTGCTGCCTCTGCGGCATCGGGTCGCTCTCGATGCCCCACATCTTTGCCGAATCCGGCGCCGTCTTGTCGTGCATCACCTTTCTGCTCAACTTCTTCTTCAACACATATGCGACCGTCGCGCTCTGCCAGTGCCTCCTCGCGCTCAAGGACGAGCCCAAAGTCCAGACGTACGTCGACCTCGGGTTCTACCTCTTTGGCAAAACCGGCGCTGTCCTCGTCCAAGGCACGCAGCTCGCGTCTTGCTTTCTACTTCCGATCGCGTTCCTCGTCCTCGGCGGCGCGACGCTGCTTCCATCCATCTTCGACGGCGCGATCGACATTTCGTCGACGTGGTGGATCTTGCTCATGACGCTCGTACTGCTGCCGATCATCTACATCCGCGTGCTCCACGAAGCGTACCCCGTGTTGGTTGCGGGCGCGCTCGGGACGATCATTGCCGATACCATGGCGACCGTCGATGCGTATTTGGCGCCCGGCGGTGACATTTTTGAAGCGACGGCGTCGCCCGGCTTCTCCAACGTTCTCAACACGTTTGGCGCATTTGCGCTCGCGTACGGCGCCGCGACGATCGTGCCGCAGATGCAGAACCACCACCCCCGCCCCGAGAGCATGCCGAGCACGATGGTGTTTGGCATGTTGCTGATTTCCGTCTTTTACGTGGCCCTCGGTGCGGTCGGGTACGCGCACTTTGGCTGCGCGGCGCCTGGGAACCTCTTGATCGCCATGTCGGCTACGACGGAGCGCCGGCGAATTGCGTTCATCTGCATGCAAGTGCACGTCATGATTGCGCTGGCGATCTTTATGAACCCGTTCTTTGTCTACTTTGAGCGCAAGTGGGACCCGTGGTTTGCCAAGGTGGCGATGACGGACACCAACGAGAATGACGACGCCGACAAGACCGAAGCGGGGTTTGCGGCAGTGCGCACGCCGACGCACGGCGCGTCGGACAATGACGCGAGTGCCGTCGACGACGTGCGGGCGACGCGGGTCGCATTCCTGCGCCGAATTGTGTTTCGCTCGAGTATGGTCGGCATCCAGTGCTTTGTCGCCATGCTCACGCAGAGCTCGTTCTCGGACATTGCCGACCTCATTGGCGCGTCCGTCATGAACCTCTGCTCAGTGATTCTGCCGCTTGTCTTTTACTACGCCATGTTCCGCACGACCATGTCCAAACGCCATAAAATGCTGTGCATCGCTGTCATCGTCGTCACGACGCTCCTCGGCGGCTACAGCACGTACCACGCGATCGCCAACATTGTCGAAAACTCGTCGACGTACAAGTTGTTTTCGTCGGCGCCGGCCACCTATGCACCGACGTCGTTCCCGTACTGCCCCGCGGGTTTTGCGACGCGCAAGCAGGCATGGATCGCCTCACTGCAACATTAACTCAAATAACTAGTATGTATTCTACGTAGTCATCTCTAAACTCGGGTTTGCATAAACTATTTTGTGGATTACAGCGCTGTGTTGGGCACGAGCAAATACCCAAAGCATAGCGCCATGAGAAGGATCATGAGCGCCACCAGTCGGTCGTGGCGCGGGCGTTTTTCGTCGTCGACGGCCACGGGCAAGACGACGCGGCCGCGCTTGGCCTTGCGCCGGCCGTCGACGCGCAGCCGGCCAATGCAGAGCTGCTCAACCATGTCCTGCGCAGCTTTGGAGTGCCCAACCTCTTTAAACTCTTCGTGGGCGTCTTGGCCCGCAAGGTCCATGAGGATTTCGGGCCCACCCGGATGCGACTCCAAGAAGGCCGTGATGTCGTAGATCTTTTGGCGGCCGTCGTCGCCAAGGATGAGCCAGCAGTCGTCGGTGGAGGCGTGGCGAAGCACCTCGGCGGCCGTGTATTCATGCAATTCGCTCATGTTGGCAAGCTGTCGTCGCTTGCGGAGGTGGTCGACGAACGTGGTCTTGAAGCCACGGCCGTGGCGCATGCACCGCGACCTTTGACAAAAGATCGTTCTTGCCGCGTTGTGATTCGACACATTTCCATTGCATTTCCACCAATCCTCCCTTTACATGGCACATGCCGAATCTAATTCAGGTGCCGCTTTCGACCAGCCAATCACGCCCATCAGCGCCACGCCGACGATAAGACAAAGCAGCATGTCGGTCTACGACGAGATTGAGATCGAGGACATGGAGTTCAACGAGGACGACCAGGTGTACTACTACCCGTGTCCCTGCGGTGACAAGTTCTTCATCGGCCTCGACGAGCTCCACGACGGCGAAGACATTGCGAGCTGCCCGTCGTGCTCGCTCACGATTCGCATCATCTTTGACGCCGACGCACTGCCCGAGCTCCGCGAAGATGAAGATGACGAAGAAGCATGAGAGAATATAACTTAAGAAATGCTAGCACATACATGCGTTACTGATCGGCGACGACCAAATTAACGAGGTTGCCGTGCAGGACATCCCCGAGCTTGGCTATGTGCGCGCCCATGCGCTCCGTCTCGGCGTCCGAGAGCCTCAGCGTCGACGCAGCCTCGTCACTGGACATGGCCAAAATACGCACTTGTGTTTGCGTTGGCGACAGTCGTTCGCAGAGCACCCTGCACAGATGCTAAGCCGTCGACTATCATAGAAACGAATGGCGGTGTACCAGACTTTGCAGTGGCGCTGGAGAGGCGCCGTGCGTGGCCACGCCTCGTCGAACGCAATCGAGCTGCCGACCAGCGTGCGGGTGTTCAAGCTTCTAAACTCGCGCGCCAACACGTTCAGCGGTTCGAGACCGCCCCGCTGCACTCGCTTGTACTCCATGTCGACCGCCGTAGTAGCCAGCATCTACCACAGCGCTATGACGAAACCCCACACATCGTTTTGCTCTACCTCTGCATCCAGACAGTGCACAGCAACGCCAGGTGGCGGCTCGAGCGTGAAGCGGCCTTCCATGCGCGGGGCCCAGAAGAGCGCCTTGACGCGCGGCGCAACGTCATCGAGAGGCTTGTCCACGAAGAGATGGTAGTGCCACGTGAGCTGGATCGTGCCCGTCTCTAGCACCTCGTACTTGAACGCGCGCTGGTCGCGCATGTTGGCGGTCGGCCCGCAGAGGCCAAACGTGGCAAAGACCGCGTCCGTGTTGTAATACAGGTTCTTACTGACCCAGTCGAGACTCGCAAATCGGGTCGCGGGGTCGGCCAAGACGGACAAGTCACGCCACGTAGACTGCGTCGAGAGCCCACGCTACGATACCTACCGTGTAGGACGACCACGATGCTATAGGTACATGGACACTACCTGAACGCTGTGGCCTGCGACCCAATGGGTCATAGCTGTGAGAAAGTGCTGCTGCCGCCGCTGCAACTCTTGGAGATCGGCTTGCTCGTCGAGGCTCGCGGCGGTGGCGGCCTGCAGCCCGGCGGCGACGTCTCGCCACGAGAGTGCGGACGTCGATGGCCGCGCCTGCAGTTGGCGGAGCTGCGCGTGGAGCGTGGCTATGGCTTGTTGGAGGTACGAAGTCTCGGAGCGGAGCAGCGACCGGTGCTCGCGCTGCTTGAACCGGTTGTAGAGGCGCAGCTTGGTCTTTGCCGGGTTGGTAGCGTCCTTCGGGTCACCGCTTTGCATTTGATTGTGTGTCATATGAGTGTGTGTATACCATAGTAAGCCCCATACTGTGCTCAAGGTTGCACACGTAACATCCAGAAGGTCCAGGCATCGAGCCGACAACTTGGCACTTGCAGCTCTACTTTCTCGCGACCACTTGTCACCACGACCGTTGCTACTAGAATTGCCAGGGCTATAGTATCGGCACGTTGTCGTTTAGCCTTTTGAACGTCGGGTCGATGGAGCATCGAGGGCCAATGTGAGTCTGATGGGTGATCCGGAATAACGCCATCATGACGCAAGCTGAGTCCACGCACTCGCAAGCTTACTGTACCAGGACCGTTTCAGCAGCCAGACTTGCTTCTGGCAGAGCACTAGCCACCCTTGGTGCTGCCTTTGGTGGTATTACCGAGGTATGTCGGGAGTTCCCTGCGGATTTCCCGCCAAATGCGCACGATCCACCGACAGCCTCTTTCTCGTTCGACGTGCAACCCCACACACCCTTGCATGACTGCACCTCCAACTGGAGCACGATAATTGCTACTAGCAATCGATCGACTCGGGCAACACGACTACGAGCAGGTAGTTGGGGATGCTTGCGATTGCCCATATCCAGAGCCTCTTGGTGAAATGCACTACGAGTGTCATCGATAGTCCATTTGACCAATCGACGTCAGGTGGAAGCAATAGCCAGCGCTTCCTAGCGCAAAGGCGCTTGTACAAAAGGCTCGGACGCTGCTTTTACCAGAAACCTCATTTTCAAACGTATACCATGATGATGACGACGCCCACCCCGATGCTTGGCTTCCTTGCGCTCTACATTCCGCGCACGAGTGCCAAATCCCAGCGCTACCTCGCCGCTGGTTTCCTCATGGCCATGCTCGTCCGCACCCTCGGGATGCGCCGCGTGCTTCTCGGCCTCCGCCCTTTTGCCTGCAAGCTCTTGACAGCTGCCAAGGCAGCGTCCGACACCCAGCTTCGTCCGTTGCCTGACAATGTCGAGACCGTCCCGGCGCTGCAGACGACAGTCGCCACCCAAGACACGACCATTGCCCACCTCACGACCAACGTCGCCGACCT